CAAGCAGTAGTAGCGCCCCCACGCTTACAAGACACGAGTATAAGTGAATGGCGATTTTACAAGTACAAATGAAAGTTTAACGAATAGAAATGGGCATTTTACAAACACAAATGGAGATTTTGTTAGAAATGAAAAAAAAGTAGTTTCACGAATACAAATAGAGATTTCACTTACACAAACAGATTTTACGAATACAAATGTAGGTTTTATGAACACAAATAAAAATTTCCAGTAGAAATAGATAATGTAATTTCACGAATACAAATGGAGATTTCATGAATATAAATAGAGATTTCACGAATACAAATAGAGATTTCACTTACACAAACAGAGATTTTACGAATACAAATGAAGGTTTTATGAACACAAATAAAAATTTCCAGTAGAAATAGATAATGTAATTTCACGAATACAAATAGAGATTTCAAGAATACAAATAGAGATTTCAAGAATATAAATAAAGGTTTTATGAATACAAATATGTAATTCATAAATATAAATTTAAATTCTCGCACATAAATATTTTTAATGAATATTGCAACACTTGGCCTTCCATAGCAGCCTGAGACTGCAGTATTCCAAACTAATTACTTGTCTATCGTGTGAGGGCGCCTGTCTACTATTGCGTGACCGAGTGTGCACATTGTACAATAAACTGCGCAGGTTTGACTATGCTAGTTTCGTGAACGTACCAATTGTACCATATACTAGTATGTATATTTTTTTCTGAAATAATCTATAGACCATTACCACTGCGAGATCCCGCGTTATGCGCGAAATCGAGCGTAAACACAGGACAAAAAAGGTCACAGCGTATACGTAGTTGTGACGTCAGAATATCATCTAGTATTTGACAAACGTGAAAGTGTTTTGGGTCATTTACACGCTTATAATGCGGAAATGCCCCCAAAACACATTTCACCATGGCCCATTTAAGGATGTCTCATCACAATACTCGCCTCTCAGAGATCGACATTGAGCTATAGAAATAGAAATTCAAACCGTTCGGGTTTTGCGGCAGACGTTCCGTCATCACGCAAAACGCGAGATCTCGCATTGAGCGGAAAATCACCTATTAGTAACTAATTTCGATTTTAAATAGTGTAATTAGTTTATGGGAACCATACATCCGAAACATAATCCACGTGACTTCGAAGGGAAATAACTTTTTATGTATTTTTTTTTCATGGTTTTAACTTTGTGCTGAAGCGGGGAGTCGTCCCCTGCTCATGCCTCAGATGGCCATAGATGGTCATTGTTTAAAACAAGCGTTTTTAGCGTTTGTTGTCATCGTGACGACCCTCCCGCTTTAAGAAGGGTTCATGAGCAAAACAAAAAAGGGTCACTCGTACTCTCATTTCTATGGAAACGTTCATCTGTAATATGACGTAATTCCCTCGGATTGAAATGGGCCCTGAATTTAGGTCATTTTGAACCAAAGCTGATAAAATATGGGACTCTAGTGAAATTAAAAAAAATCGGAGACCCAAATTTTCTTAAACTTTTTCAAAACAATGAAGTTTAAATTCAACTTAAACAATTTACAGCGATGCATGATGAGATTATGATTGCAGGCAAACTTATATCAGGATCAAATATAATTCAATTTTGAAATATCAACGGTGTGTCGGTGTTGTGATTGAAAATATTTCTTCATTAGCAGACCAATATTCACCGGTTCGTACATGTCGTGTCTTACTGTTCGTGCAATCTGTTACGTATGAAGTAGTCTAAAGTACGCGTGTCTGGAGGAATTCAGCATTAATTTTGTAAAGTGCCGTCTATGGGGACATTTGCCTGCGGCGAAACCACATTTCCTGATTTTCCAGAGAGTTCGTGAAAACAATCAAAATAAGACGGATTAGTGTCATTAAAAATACATCAAAAATAAATCAAATTTGTGTATTGTTTATAAAATGTTAACGACCCTGCGTGACTCTAATCACAGTCCCTCTATCCCCGGTCTAGAAACGGTCACGTGCCCTAATGAATGGATCATTGTTTATGTCGGGCGGGGCGGGTGGACTGGTTTGGTGGGAACATTTATTTTTATTTTTTTTCGGCTGAAAATTGTGCAGGTTTGTTTTGTTTTCTCTAACCATGGAGGTAATAAACTCTATGATCTAACAGATAAGTTTCTAGTTTTGTGGTTGACTCACACGCGGGCCCGGGACGGATTTTATGAAACACTTCCGACCAAAACCACTTCATCCAAGCAGAGACATTAGTGCCTTTGATCCAAGTCCCTTTTTTCTAGTTCACTTCAGTCACGTCTTACCACAATGTCACTTCGCAAAACACGCACACTTGTCACAAAATCACGTCGTATTACACGTGTACATGTGCGCTTGGATTTACCGATTAAGTCAATACCGCGACATATCATTTTCTTCAAGTTGTATAACACGGTATTGTTAGTTCTTATTCAGAATACCCTATTAAGTGACCGTATGGTACAAAATGTCCGTGCATTACGAAGTGGCTGAGACGAAGTGCTATTGGTACGAAGCATAGTCCCTCAGCATCCGTGTTGAGTGACTGTGTCCGTACATTGAATACCCCAGACCATTCGTCCCGGTGTTATCGCTATCGCCACACGAGACTCCAGCTTGTCTCCTATACAATTTTCCTTCCGCCCACTTAATTTTAATATTCATATGACCTTTGCACTGACATCGATAGCCAATCGCATTCGACCGCGGACGTCACTCTAAATAAACAACTGAATAAA